ATGGCCTAACCGGAGGCCAGGTTGGGTAACAAACCAGTAGGCAGGTGACCCAGCGTGGCCTGTGACCTGGGCACAGGCCCACCGGCACCAGGAGGCAGCCACAGGCTTCTGACCCACATGCCTACAAAAGGACTTCAGAGCGGCCACAGAGCCCGGGGTAGATGAGGCAGCTGTCCAGGCTGAGATCATGAGCCACCCTGGGCCTGGATGTGACTCATGACCTGGGCCTGCCTGGACCAGGAACAGGGGACCGTCCTTAACTCCAGACTGCTGGGGCTTCCCCAAACTCTGGGCTTCTGTGTTGTCACCCAGCTACTCGGTTCCTGTCTGTTGAGGCCAGAGGGGGTGCAGCTTTGTACAGGAGGCCCAGGGAGGGAAGACTTGTGACCCCTGAGTCTACAGAGTCCGATCCCTGGTGCTCTGGAGAGCCAGGGGTACCAGCAAGGGGGGAGAAGGAGGATCTGATTAGTCAGGGGGCCGAGCAGCAGCTCACACTTAGAGCACTAGGCTACCCAGCCACCAGATGGACACTGCAGGCATTACCCACAGGAGCCAGAACTGGGAAGCACAACTAGTGCCAAGATCCCCACTCCCCACCCCACCTCCCCTCCTCCAGGCTCTCTGGAGGCACATGGGGGCTTTCAGGACAGAAAACAAAAGAGGCCCAGGAAACAGGACACGCAACTTTAAGCTACTGAAGGCAGCAAAGAGGAGAAACATGGCCTCATTCCCCAAAATCTGGAGGCTGGAGGGAGTCCCAAAAGGCCAACCTCAGTCAGAGGGAGGTTGGTGAGGAAGGGCCAGGGGGCTGAACTCACCCCGACAGGTCCAAGAGGAACTGCAGAGGTCTGAGCACTACTTTGGCCTAGAGAGGGGCACCTCAGGTCATGCCACCCAGGCTCCCCAGTGCCCACGCCACAGCCCACAGGGAAGTACTGTGTTTAGGGATGATCTGGTCGCAGCCCGTCCTTCCTAATGGCAGCACAGATGCCTGAAGACAGACCCTGACTAGCCAGCACTGCCCCGTCTCCCATCACCCCCCAGGGGCCTGCACAAGGACGTCTGGCCAAGTGCTCCATCAGCTCACACCTTTGCCCTCCTTTCAAGTGGCCAGGCCGCAATCCAGCACATTCTCCTCGACTTCCCCTGGAAGGGCTTGCTGTCTCTGCTCGTGATGTATCTCCTCACCCAGACAGCTCCTACCCCAGTGCTTCTCCTGGCCAGTCCCTTCTCATCCCTCAAGTCTCAGACAAGAATCTCCTCCAGAGATTCTTGTTTGGGCAGGTTACGCCTTCCTCTGCTCTCCCGCAGTATCAGGGCTTTTCACAATCACTGCCTAGATTCTGGGGATCCATGAAGCGAGAACCTCATCTACTTTCTTCCTTGTTCTCTTCCCAGGCTCCAGCACCAAAACTGGCCTGCAGGTGCTCCATAAATACATAAATACATAATGAATTGGGAAATACATAAATAAATACATAAATGAATTGGGTTGGGGAGAGCTGATGGCTAAACCACCTACCCCAGAAATATCGAGACAGGCAATGGTGTGTGTCACGTTGGCAGCCCAGAGCCCCGGCATGGGCTTTGCACCTAAAGGTACTAGAAGGCAAAGGTAGTGCCTCATAGAGTTACCAAAAGAATGGAAGAGGAGACAACAGCAGAGGACAGACAGCAACGTGTTTCTGAATGGAGAATCAGTAGAGTGTTAGTAACTGATCCAGTAGAGAGGAAGAAGCCATCCCCTAAACGCCCACAGACTCCATCCTGAAGGAGCCAGTCCATTGGCCTCAAAACACCAGCAAAGCTCAGGACTTAGAGGGATCAGGCACCTTCATTAGGAAAGAAAGGCTAATCGTAAGGCTAAACACAGGGGATTGGTTAAAAGTCTGTTCTCAAAGCAATAGATCCCAAGGCCTTCACCATAGGTGAAGGTGACTCTTACCACCCTCACCTGTGTTCCCCAGATGCTAGAGGCTTATCAGCCTCCTGAAGAAACTGAACCCAAGTGATCCCAGACTTGGGAACACCAGCACAGTGGAGGACAGGAGTGAGATTCAAAGCAGGGAAATTACTGAAAGTCTGCAAAGCGAATATTAGGACTCCAGCCTCCCCCACTCCTTAGCTTCCAGAATGCAGAGAGATGAGATGGCTACTGTATTCACAAAACAGGAAAAGAATTCTATCAAGAAGAATTTTAAAAATAAACAATCTAAGAGCTCTTGGAAATTAAAATTATACTAGCTGAAGTTAAAATTTCAACCAATATGTTGAAAATAAACTCAAGGAAATTTCCTGCAAAGCCACACAGAAGGGCAAAGTGATGGAAGAGAAGAGAAAAAGGTATAAGATAATTTAAGTGTCAATCTAAAATGTTGACTATTTGACTAATAGGAGTTCCAGAATAAGAAGAAATTATCAAAGAAACAGTATAAGAAAATTTGCTAGAGCTGAGAGAGTAGGAGTCTTCAGACTGAAAAGGGTCACCAGGAGCCCAAAATAGTGAATTTTAAAAGAGATGTTATTGTGGAATTTCAGAAATAAATTTAATAGAAAGCATACTAAATATTTCCAAAGACGGAAAATGGGTTACTTGAAAAGAATCAGAAATGAAATGCATCAGGTTTCCAAAAGCTATTCTGACAGTGAGAAGATAATAGAGCAATATCTTCAAAATTCTGAGAGAAAATATGTCAACCTAGAATTTTCTTCTCAGCCAAACTGTCAATTAAGACTGTGTAGACGTGCCTGGATAGCTCAGTCAGTTGGGGTCTGGTTCTTGATTTCTGGTCAAGTCATGGGATCAAGCCCTGCATTGGGCTCTGTGCTGGGCGTGGAACCTGCTTAAGATTCTCTCTCCCTCCCCGACTCTCTCTCTCTCTCAAAAAAAAAAAAAAAAGAAAAGAAAAAAAAAAGTCTGAGAGCAGAAGTACAACTTTCAGGGCGCCTGGGTGGCTCAGTGGGTTAAAGCCTCTGCCTTCGGCTCAGGTCATGATCTCAGGGTCCTGGGATCGAGCCCCACATCAGGCTCTCTGCTCAGTGGAGAGCCTGCTTCCCCCTCTCTCTGCCTGCTGCTCTGCCTACTTGTGATTTCTCTCTCTGTCAAATAAGTAAGTAAAATCTTTAAAGAAAAAAAAAAAAAAGAAAGAAATACAACTTTCAGACATAAAAGGGCTCACAATTTTCTTCCCATTTATTCTTTTTATAGGAAGCCACTGAAAGAGCTTTCCACCACCCATTTTCCACCAAAATGAAAGTGTACACCAGCAGAAAGCCCTGGAGCTGGAGGAGATGGACACCAGAAAGGAAAATTTCAGGGGGGAAAATAGAACTGAAGGACAGGAGTCTTCAGATTGAAAGGAGGTACTAAAAATATCAAAAGGCTGCTAAAGGATATAGTAAGAGGTAGAGACAGTATAAAGAAAACCATGCCAATGTGAAAAACTAAGGCAATCATTACCTCCAGGTAAAACATAAAGTTGAACAAGAGAGAAAACAAACAAACCAAAAAAACAGTAAATGCTATTTATATCATGGTAATAACGTGAATAGTGAATATCCATAAACCCCCAAATCCATAATAACTATTTTAGGAGAGTGATGAGGATGAGGGAGAGACGTGCTTTTGTGTTTTTTGTTGTTTTCTTTTGTTTCATTTAGATTTTACTTATTTATTTGACAGAGAGAAACACAGTGAGAAAGTGAAGAGAAGCAGGGGGAGTGGGAGAGGGAGAAGCAGGCTTCCTGCCAAGCAGGGAGCCCAATGAGGGGCTCAATCCTGGGATGTTGGGATCATGAGCCGAGCCAAAGGCAAACACTTAATGACTGAGCCACCCAGGCACCCCGAGATGTGTGTTTTTTAATGGGGGTAAATAACAAGATAGCTGAATCAAGGTGAATACAAAATGACTAATTGAAAAAATAGGACTATAGATAAGCATATTAGTTTGACACAGATTTCTATCTGAAGAAATAACTAAAAGTATTTGTCTCTGGAGAAAAGGAATGGGAATTAAGGAAAGATGGGGGCAGCATACGATTTCTCCAGGTATTTTAGTACTATTGGACTTTTTGAACTATGCATACATATTATTTTGGTTTTGAGTTGTTTTTTTTTTTAAGATTTTGTTTATTTATTTGAGAGAGAGAGAGCGAGCAAGCAAGAGAGCACAAGCAAGGGGAGCATCAAAGGGAGAGGGAGAAGCAGGCTCCTGGTTGAGCAGGAGCCAACTAGGTGCTCAATCCTACGTCCCTGGGATCATGACCTAAGCCAAAGGCAGATGCTTAATCAACTGGGCCACCCAGGCACCCCTGTGTACATATTACTTTGGGGAAAAGAAGTCTGAAATTAATTTTTTTGAAAGATCTTGAAGTAAAGCTTACAAACAGAAAGAAAAACTTTGGCATATTAATCATCAGTCTCTATAATCATTGAAGAAGCCCTACAATGCATCCCTCTACCTTTCCTCCAAACTGAACACAACCTATAACCGTTCACTTAGCTCTAGTTCAAGTTCCTACCTGATATACATTTAAAAAAAATTAATTTAGTGTTCTAGCCTAATCTCCACTATTCTCCCGTGTCTTTCCTATTCTCAACCTGAACTTTTGTGTAGTAGTATACTAGTAAATGTTTAAAAGTCAGTTCTTTGGGGAAGAAAGTCCTGATTTGTAGCATTTGCCCATTTCCATAGTATAAATACTCCCACATGGCTGATTTCAACCTACCACTGTGACATCACTAAATGTGGAACTGGGAAGAGATATACACTCAGCTCCAGGAAACTACAGCCTTTGGGCCTGTCTTGCCTTATCAGCCTCCATGCTTCCCACGAGACCCAGGGTATGGGAAAGACCTGAGTGTCTCCTCCAAAAAGCCAGAAATCTACAAGGCTATGTAGTAGTAGTAGAAGTGGATAATGAAGGAAAGAGAGTGGTTCTGGCTGCAGGGAAGGGAATGTGACTTTGCGGCCTTCCTTCTCCACTTCCAGCAGAATCACCTGTTCATTGGTGACACCTGGGCGCAGGGTCCCATGCTTGTAGTCCTCCAGCAGCTGCACAGCCTCTCTGAGACGTCTCTGCAGGGGAAAGAAAAAAGACATTGAGGTGCACAGATCCAAGGCTCCTACAACTCTTTCCCTTGCAAACAATAAAGAAGAATACAACTTAAGTGTCCTTCCATAGGAAAATGACTAAATGACAATGGTCTGAAAATACTATGGAACATTACAGAGCAGTTTAAAAAGTGAAGATCTGTATGTGATTCCATCTCTAACATTTTTTTTTTTAGCAAGAAAGTAAATTGCAGAGCCGTATGATGCCATTCATTATACCAAACAAACAAAGCCCACACACACAGAGAAACCAATATTTTCTATGAGAATATTTATGTGTGCAAATGCATCAAAAAAGCTCTGGAAGGAGACCCACCAAATTAGTGACAGGAGTTACCTTAGGGTAGGAGGAAAGGGTCCAGATTTGGCAAGGGGCATCAGGAGGAAATTTAATCTTAATTATAATATTGAAAGTTTTTATAAAGATAACATATTTATGTAATACTCATACAATTTCTTTGCAACATTTTAAAAACACTAGCAGAGATTTACATACTAAAGTGCATATGGGCTACAGTAACTGATGGAGAGAGGGAAAAAAAGAAGAGAGAATTGTATCATCTGTAAAACGTTAAAAGCTAAAGAGACAGCAACAGTGATAGAAGGCAGCCTTTGTCCACCAAAATATCTGTATAAGAATATTCATAGCAGCACTATTCAGGGGCGCCTGGGGGGCTCAGTCATTAAGCGTCTGCCTTCAGCTCAGGTCATGATCCCAGGGTCCTGGAATCGAGTCCCACATCGGGCTCCCTGTTCTGCAGAGAACCTGCTTCTCTCCCTCTCCCTTTGATACTCCCCCTGCTTGTGCTTCCTCTCTCTCTGTCTCCAACAAATAAATAAAATCTTAAAAAAAAAAAAAAAGACTATTCATAGCAGCACTATTCAAATAGTCCCAAAGTGCAAACAATCCAAATGTCATTACTAGACTAGACAGGAAAATTGTAGTACATGTACACAATGAAATATTATGCAACGATTTAAAAAGCAAGCTACAAACACATGTTATAACATGGATGAATCTCACAGACATACTGTGGCAAAATGTATTTTCCAAAAAGGGACACTCTAATATCTGCCATGGCCCATTCTCTTCTAGAACCTTCCCACATCCCCCTCAAGAGGTAGAGTCCACGTGTCCATGTGTCCTCCTGCTGATCCTGGGCAGGACTTCATGACTGCCTCAACAAATAGAGTATGGCTGAAGTGAGATTATGTGACCTCTGAGGCTATGTTACAAAAATGCCTTGCATTTCCACCCTGTTCTCTTGGGATGGTCGCTCTTTCGGAACTCAGCCATCATACTGTAAGGAAGCCTGAGCGGCATATGGAGAGACCCACCTGGATGGGAACTGAGGTGCTGCCCATGGCTACAGCCGAGCTATCAGCTGACAGTCCGAGCTATCAGCTGACAGTCCGTACCAACCCGCCTGCCATGCAAGGGAGCCATCTTGAAATGGACTTTCCAGCTCCCCATCAAACCGCCCTAGTGGACGCCGCATGGAACAGCGATGAACCATCCCCTGTGAGCCCTGCCCAAACTGAAGACTGTGAGCAAAATAACTGAGTCGTGTTTTAAGCCACTACATTTTGGGGTGATTTGTTATATCGCAATGAAAGGCTGATATACTTAACGAAGTCAGATGCCAAAGAGTATGTATAAAGTTCAAGAACAGGCAAAGCTGATCTAACTAACCGTGTGGAGGTCATGATAGTGTTACTTTTGTTGGGGGGTGGGTGGGAGGGGGAGGCAGGGCCCTGACTTGGAAAGGGCATAAGGGAACCCTTTGAGGTCATGGAAATGTTCAATGTCTTCATCTGAGTGGTGGTTACATGGGTATAAACATAAGTCAAAATGGAGTAAGCCATAAACTTGGGATTTGTGCATTTTACCATATGTATGCTCTACCTCAAAAAATTAACAAGAAACAGACAACAGCCATAGAAGGCAGCCTATGTCAAGGTTGGCTGAGGGATCCAGACATCAGGGTTGCCCAGTGTGGGCAAAGAAACCCAGTGAAGTTGCCCTGTTCCCCCATCTTTGTTTTTTTTTTTTTTTTTTTTTTTTGTTCCCCTTTGGCTAGAAGGGCAAGGTTAGCTGAGGATGGAAATGCAAAGAGACCTCCGCAGAAGCCCCCGGGTCTGAAGGCAGGATGCCGCCCCAGGAAGGGCAACCACGGGGCAGGCAGGGTGTTTGTGGAGACATCGGGCAGGGCAGTCCCATAGGACAGGAAAGGAAGAGCCACCTGCTATAATGGAACAGACAGACTGACTGCCGGCCCAGACGTGCCAGCCAGACCACCTGACCCATCAGGCCTGCCTCAGAAGCATCTGTGACCGACACAGGTCTAATCCGGGACATCAGGGAAACTTCTTGCTTAGGAGCAGCCTGACTGGGTGGGGTTGGGGCAGGGGGATGTACTGCCTTTCCCACTCAAAGGTATGCATATCAATTCCAAAATTCCGTAGCCTCTTCACAGAATCTATTTCCAACATGGAGATAGCTTGGTGGGATTTTTTTGGCAGGGGTGGGGAGGGGAGGGGCAATTAACCCATGCTATTTAGAGAGAATGTCAGAAAACAATAGAAAGGCACAAAAGATCATTTTAAATCCCTCATCAATACACTGCTGAGATAACCACCACAGAAATGAGAAGGGTTGAAAAAGAGTGAAGGGGATTTTTCTTCTGCATTTAATGTGTTTGTTTTTCAACAATATGGGATCATGTTGATGGTTTTACCTTGCTTCAGGTCACAGGGCTACAACATGAGAAGTTTAGTCTTCCTACCCAGAGTTTAGTCAGACCCTTGCTGTGTGCATCCCCCTCCCGCCGGCAACCCCCAGAAAGCCCTGCAGTGATGCGGCAAGCTCCCCACCCCTAGCCTGCTTCCTCCCACACTGAGGCCTCTGCCATGGGACAATGACTGCTCTACTTTCCAGCGCTGAATGGTGAATGGCCCCGTGTTCTCATTATTTTCCCACTCCAGGGATTCTCCTGAGTTCCTATAACAACCTGGCCAGGATCCATTTCATTTGACACAGTCATCAAAGGGAGGCCTCCTGCCACAGGAATAAGTTCCAGAGAGCCCCGATCTTGGCATGAGTTGAGGGAGACCTAAATCCAAAGTTCCTGAAGAACGAGTCTGGGAAATTAGGACTGGAGGAAGCTAGAACATGCTTTTCTCTTGCCTGGGCCTTACTAAGCCTCAGCCAGTCCCCTCTGTCAGAGGCTGAGGGGCTAGGGCTCCAGGCTGCTCTGTGGGACAGCCAAACCCCAGGACACTTGTTTTTTTTTTTTTTAAGGATTTTATTTATTTATTTGACAGAGAGAGATCACAAGCAGGCAGAGAGGCAGGTAGAGAGAGAGAGGAGGAAGCAGGCTCCCTGCTGAGCAGAGAGCCCGATGCGGGGCTCAATCCCAGGACCCTGAGATCACGACCCGAGCCGAAGGCAGTGGCTCAACCCACTGAGCCACCCAGGCGCCCCCCAGGACACTTGTTTTAAGAGGTCCCTGAGGCCTGACTCTTCTGGGGGCTGGGCCCTTCACTACAGCAACGAGGTCATTACCAGGGAGTCCTGAGGGATGGGAGGAGGGTCTCCCTGCTTTAAACCCTCCCCCACCCCCTGCATTGTGAGGCTTGACAGAGGAGCCCTGGGCACTTGAGAGGTGGGGATAGCTGGAGGTCCCTGGCAGGTGAACTTTGCAGGAAGTCTTTTCAACCAGAAACAAACAGGCAGCCAGGCCCCGGATGCAAAGGCAGCAAGGAGCGGATGAAAGGCTGCAGGCCCTTCTCTAGAGCCATGGGCCAGAGGGAGGGTCAGCCCTGGTTGCTTCCCAGACTCCCTCATTGGCTTGCCTGCCTCTAGCTCACCTGCCAAAAAGTGTCACCTTGAGGTTATCTCCTGTATTTTATTGGGGCATGGTTTCCAGAAGGTCCTTCTGGAAACGCTGGCACCTGGGAGGTCTGCTCCAGGGCAGAGAATTCAAAGAGAGGAGGAACCTGGCCTTGAGAGTCCTGCCCCAAGCCTTGAGGGGCAGAAGAAGGAAGTAAAGGGGCAGGCATGGAGTGTTAGAGTGGTGGCCAAAAAGGGCAAGAGATCGTGCCTGAGACAGTGGGACCCAGGAAGGAAAGGACACAAAAAGGAAAGCTGGGAAGAGAGTCAGCAAAAAGTCCCTCAATGGTGATGCTCATTTGACCATCCCAGAATTACAAGAGACCATTCTGTATTCACAAAGGATGTGGATAAGAATATCCCTTTGCATGTATCTATCATAGAACCATCTAGGCTACCCCCTCGCTGAAATAACTGGGGCCAGAAAAGGAAGGGCATTTCCACGCCCAGGGTCACAGGGTAGGTGGGAGGCAACTTAGAAATACCCTCCATCCCAGTTCTGGGCCATTTCCACAAAACATCAGCATGGAAGACCGTCCAGTCCTCATAAGAGTAACTGAAAGGGTTGTCTCCCAACGATTTCAAAGCAATGCCTACATCCCCCAAAGCTGAGGCCTATGGGGGCAGGGCACCTCAGGTAAGAAAAGGAAGGGTCTTCTTTACTCTCATTCAAAGCCAGGTCTGATCTGACACAGAAACTGGAGCATTGAAACTTTAGGCAAAGTGGGGAATTTGGGAGTCCCCAGAGCTTGCAGAACTTAAAAAAGAGAGAGAGAGAGAAAAGCAGCATCAGGGGTGGGGATAATTAATTGGCAATGGAGTGTGAGTGTGACAAAGCAGGGATGGCTGATGGGAGGCAGGGGGAGGGGAGGGCAGCAGCTTAGGTCACTTCAGGCCTTGATTGATCAGTATCTGATTGTTCTCACCTGCATCAGTCTTGCACCTGCCCAAGGCAGGGCCTTGCACTCTCACCTTGCCCGCAATGACTGCTTGAGCTATTTTTATTGTGGCCCCAAGTCCTGGGACTTGGGGCTAGAAGATAATGATATAAATGCAGACAGAGTCCCAGGCC